TACACTGCACAAGACCATGGGTGGAATTCAGAACCCCATCCAGAACTGACTGAGGTAGGAAATTTCCACTGGAAAAGACTAGTAAACAAGCCTGGAGCAGCTAGAAGTACAGAAGATACTTTGTGAAAGAAAGACAGTCAGGAAAAATCTGAAACAGTAACAGCAGTCTGATTACTACAAGAACAAGCTGTTCGCCTGGGATCCATCAAGGTAAGTGGTCAGGACCCCTCAGAGCGAACCCCTTTCAAGACTGAGACTCAAGGGGAATACATGAGCAGGCATGTGGTCTGGATGGGAAGAGGGGTAAAAAACAGCAATGAAGTTGTGAGCTAAGCCCGACCACATTCAAAAGACCTCCATGAACCCGAGTGGAGACCTGGATGGCCAGCAGTATGGCAAGACCCGGGAACTCCCAGGCCCAGAGGCAGTGACATGGCCACAGAAGACTAGAGTGGAGAGTGAAGTGTGCAGCTGACATGAAGTGAGGAGATATGCACAAGAACACCCATACTTGCAGATAGAACCCACTTGACCTGGCTTCGATGGCTGGATGATCAGAATTTGACTAGAAGAAGAAAGAAGAGGGTGAAAAAAAAAAAGAGTAACTTGCTACAATTTGATGAACTTTACCTATACATATGTATGTAGTAGCTCAAAAAAGGGAACAAATCTTTACAGTGAGGATTACTCCCACCCCCTCGGTACACAGGGTTGACAGGGATGGGCAATATAGACATTGGCTACCCAAAATGGGGGGTCCTATAAATGCAAGAAGCTTACAAGCTTTCAAGAGGGAGCCTAGTTCCAGATGGGGCAGGGAAAAATAGAATCACCACTGAATGATTTCCAGTCCGTTGGGACCAGGCTGGAGAAAGGAAATGAGGATAAGACTCTTGTGGTACAATAGTGAGTAATTGCCATCAGGACCGGCTGTGAGGCTAGGAAATTATAGAGGTAGATGTTTTTTGACAAAAGGAGGAAAGTGATTGATTTTGCAGCCCAGGAGCGATGGTCCTTGGGACCATCTAGGGAGAAAAACGGACTGCAGGACCCTACCCAGAAAGGCAGTGACGCCAGGGATTGAGACAAAGATGATGATGGAGCAGCTGGAGACACTGGATTCAGGAAGGGAGAAGAGCTGTGTGCTGGCGGCCAGTGGGGGTGGGGGGAGAGGGCCTGTGTGGTGTACCCTTTGGGGTTATTTGGTGATGCATGGAGGGGATTATAATCATTGCAATGAAACAAAATATGATAAGATGAGTGTAAAGCTGGTGTGTTCTCCCATGTAAACCTCAAAATAAAAACTTAAATAAAAAAAAAAAAGAGAGACTGAGAGTAGCAGAATGGATAAGAAAACAGGATCCTTCAATATGCTGTCTACAAGAGACACATCAAAAAGAAAGAAATCACCTAAGTACCTTTTGACAAAAGATTGGTTAAACAAACTTTGGTATATGCATACAATGGGTTACTATGCAACATTGAAGAACAGTGATGAATCTGCAAAACACCTCACAACATGGATGAATTTGGAAGACTTTATATGAGTGAAACTGGTCAATCACAAAAGGACAAATATTGTATGAGAACACGGTTGTAAAATTATGAAAAGGTTTTCTTGATAAAAGATACATTTTGTAATGCTTACTAAGGAGCTCTGGTAGCATAGTGGTTACGAATC